CCGCCTGCGGCAATCATCTTCTCGCAGAAATGAGGGGTTGTGTGGAAGATAGGAAACGGGAGAGGGGACAGGAGGAGACAAAAGGAGGGCCTAGATGGTTCCCTTTTCCGAGTTACTCCAGAAACAGTACCACTTCCTGGCATTCGTCAGTGCTAAGTTATCGAAACAAATACAAAAATTAATTATTCTCCAAGGAAAATCTGAGTTAACGGCTCCGGCTCAACAATAGGTGCCTCCAGCACCTTCTCTTCCCTCCCCCTGCCCCTCTTGATTGGTGGATTTTTCAACCCTGTGATTCCTTGAAAATCGAATTTATAGCAGTTAAAATTTCGGATGTGCCTGTCACTTAAGCATTAAAATGATTTGTTAAGTCTTCTGGTTTAAAAACACACATTCTATCTTAGCAATAATCTCCACTGCCCCTCTTTTGTCCTCAAATCCTAAAAATTTAAAATTCTGATATTTTCAACAAGTAAAACTTGCCTTTTTGTTACTGGCAACATATCGTACAGCTGCACGAACTGTTTCATTTTCACTTGCCGCAATCAGGCCATGTTGTACTTCTGGTTTTTTCACCGCATCAAAGACTGCTTTCGCTGCACCGAATGCCAATTTACCGCTACTACTGCATGCGCCTGGATTTTTCTTTTTTTAATTTATTCAACAAATTATTAAAAAAACAAAAACAAATAAGAGTGCGTTAGAAAATTCGATGCGAAAGCAAGTGCAGCAAAATATCGAGTTTGAGGAGGGCAACTTTTTTCACGACGAGGAAGATAACACCTGTGATGGAGTGATCTTTGATGAGCAAATTATGTCTTAACTCAAATTTGAGTGACTAAATTTAAGACATTATGAGGCAAAAAAGAGAGCGGTCCTCACAAAGGATTGTTTTTACTTCTCGTACGAGTCATCGCCATCATCTAAAAGCTGTCCTCTTCAAACTCGCTATTAACAAAACGCACAAAACTTGGGGAGCCATAAAAAAAAGCACTTCCTACAATCATCATATGCAATGTTTAATAAACAATAAAAACAGCAAGGGTGAAAAAACTTATGAATCCATCTAGAAACTCCGGATTTTGACAGCCACTGCCATCTAGAAATCACAACTCCGGATTTCCTTTTCTAACGAAAAAGATTAAAATGTCAAAAACATGCAGTATTTAATAATCCCTACGAAATAAGAAGACATCCCAAAATGGCATCAATGATAGCATTTATTAACGATAACTATACCCTGGTAAAGGCTGTCAAAACTGTTTCTATTTTTCAAGAGTTTCTTTGGGACAAGCTAGCACCAATTTCGGTTCTCTGGCATGCGCCATTACCAGTTTATCATCGAAATGAATGAACTAATCAAAGGAGCGGCGAAGGAAGCGAAAGAGGGGAAGGGAGGATGGGGGA